TTTATAGTTTCTAGTAAAAATATCTTATTTTATCCGTCAAAAATCTCATAATCACACCTTTTTGAAAACCCGTAACGTTTTTTTTATGTTGGCAGTCCTTATTAATTTAAGTTCCGGCCAGGATACGTGTCTTTATCACGTTTAAAAATGAAAAAACAGGAAAGGGACAGTTTAAGACCCCTAATTTTATAGCCTATTGTAAACCACCGGAACAGAAAACATCGCTTTGAGCTTAAGTCAGACGGACGTACACTTTTATTATATATACAAAAGGTGGGCAACCATTAGACGGAAGCGGACGGTGGACTCAAATATTAACTTTTGATCCCACCTTCCGGTGAGCGGATACAGTGTTTATTTTTTATATTATAGCAACGTCCAATGGGCCATTTTTATATAAACAATTGAAAAAATAAGATATATAAAGATGGTTTGTCGTTAGTACGATACTGATATAGTTTCAATGACTGAACTTTAATACGAAAGATCTGTTGTATTTAAATAAAACACTTTAACGGTTTAAACGCGATATATTAGTTAAACTTATTTGAAAATGGTTTTTGACTTCGGCTCGACGTTTCGGACCCTATGCAGCAGTCGTGGTCACGTCATGGGGAGCATACGTAACGTCGGGCCGAAGTCAAAATAATTTCCAAATAAGTTTAGCTAATATATATTGCGTTTGAAATCTGTCTTTTTATTTATCCTAGGATCCTATTCAACTCCACGATTTTTAGTTTGCACTTAGAATGTTGGTAAATGACCGGGTCTCGAACATCGACCTTGCTAAGATGGGTTCACAAACCAATAGACCAACTCGGCTCTAATAACTAAATGAGACAGGCCAAAAATATACCAACATCCTAAAATTAAAATTAACTGTAAACTCGAGAGTCATTTAAATTACGATAAAACACACGCATAAATTTCCAAGAACATCATAAACACATGTAACCATTCATAAAAGTGTCAAGTGTGCGAAAAAAAAATTAACGCCCGCCGTTTCCGAAAATAATTTTGGCGGGAAATCGAAATAGCTGCGGATGCTCGCGCCCTTATTAGATTTCCTGTTTCTAAAAGATTAAAAATCAATAAACGGTAATATTCTAAAATATTCTTTCATAGAACCCAAGAAGGTCTAATTTATATTTGCCGAATAATGGTTTATCAAACGTTTTTCCACTGAGCATGTATACGGAAACGATTAGTTTCAGGCCACATGCTGACAGGATGCGTGAATTCATTATCGATTCAAAAACATATGTTGTTTCTCTTTCTTACGTTAAAATTTGAGCTAAGTGCGAGAGGGACAGAGAAAATCCCGCATCCGGCTACGAAACCGCGCAATGTGCGTTTAAATAACTTTCTAATCCAAAATGACGTAAGTGATATATGCTGATTTGCTAATGTGTACTCTATTACCTTGTGATAGAGTTGCGTTTAAACTATACCTATATTACGACTTTGTGGTGTTTATTTCGGTGAAAGATTAAGGGTATTCTCGGCGCTATTTTGCGTCAGACAAGAGCCACGACAGAAATCAAAATTGGTCATTCTGTTTTCGACTGAGTGTGCGCACGGACGTATTCAGCCGTTTGTATCAATAATTCCGTAAAGAAAATTCGGTGTATTAAATTCAAATTACTGAGAAATTAGTTGGTTTAACAGTGAACGTCGAACGTTTGAAGTGCAAGTGCTACCGTTAATATAAAGGGATTGACAAAATATTTTGGTGAGTTAATTTATTTGATAATATTGATATAATAAAGTATATTAAAAAATCATTTTAATATACGTTAAACACAACAGTAGTTTAATAATTTTTTATACAAGAGTAGACTTTAAGTAAAACTCGTTTATTTTTTTTAAATTATTTTGTATAAGTTGTAATAAATAATACCTAATTCTTTATTTCATATTAAAATACAAATACCTGTATTGATTTCCGTAGATATAGTGAAAATTTCTTCAAGCAAACAAACATGTTTACAAAAGGTTTTGGTTACTTATATAATAACAAATTTTCATCAAACACTAACATAGACAAAACATACTTGTAGCCCTGTAGCCCCTTTAATCAAGAAAAACCCGTAAATTGTCCGTACCTTGCCCGTAGGCTGTAAATACTAAGTACTCCAAGTCCATATACATTTTCTAGACAGTAAATAGACAATTAGCAGTAAGAAACATATTAAGTGGTATACCTTATAATAATATAGAAAACCCCAAAATTACACTATTTACATCCAAGACGGCATAACTTCTGTACTGTGACACGCACACTTGCCAATTTCCGCCAATTGTTTGAGTACTTTCTAACGCGTACCATAATTATCACTTTCCCGCGGTCTTCTCTCTTCCGGCATCGCGTTATTTATTCAAACAGAAGCTATCTAATTGGGAAAAGTTTTTCTTTGAATGTGATGATGATGAAGGGTCTAGAAAAATTGGGAAACCCCGGTGAATCTGACAAAAATCTTTTCTCTTTATCTGTATTAGATTATAATAATTTTAAAACATATCTGTAGGAAAGAGAGATTGTTATATAAATAGAGGGCATTAAACTAGCGGTATCATAAGATTGACGTGTCTCTGTATATCTGTTTTCATGGGACCGTGGGTTTTACAGAAATAAATTGGTTTCAATCTAATTGTTTTTGTTTGAATAAATTCTTATCGACTGGGTTTTGGTTTGGTGTGGTATGTAAAGGACTTATATAAGACTATTCTTCCTTTAGGTATAAGGTTTTAGATATGAGAGATGGTTTAGTAGCTTAATATACAAAGATTTCAATATGGACTGTCTTCAAAAATATTTCTATCATAGTATATACCGGAATATACAATGTCAATTATTTTGTTTATGTTTTACACAATTTAAATTGAAGAGAAAATAGTTCTCTTAAATAATAATTAAAGACCGTACTATCGTATTACATATATGTAAATGCAACAGATGCATCTTCGGCACTACAAAAACGACGGACTATTAATTATGATCGGAAACTCATTACCATCTGCCGCCTATTTACAAAACAATGAGACGTTAAACGATCTACGTCACTACCGACAATGCGTTCCTTTTTCGAATTGAACGGAAGTGTCGATTTCGATTATGGAACGTCCGCCCGTTTGGCGGGAAGACGGCGCGCGCGCTTCCGCTACACTCTTTTAGGGAAATACTTGGCACATGCCCGATGTGAGAAGAAAAAAAGTTAAAAAAAAATACACCTGGATATCCAAAAGTGATGGGTATAGTCATCGCGGTCAATGCCTCCAAGTTGTTTCTCTGTGATATATTGGAATTATGTTATATTTAAATAAAACACTTTAACGGTTTAAAACGCGATATATTAGTTAAACTTATTTGAAAATGATGCTTTGCAGCAGCCGTGGTCACGGGGAGACCCCGTCTCCCCGTGACCACGGCTGCTGCAAAGCATCCGAAACGTCGGGCCGAAGTTAAAAATCATTTTCAAATAAGTTTAACTAATATATCGCGTTTTAAACCGTTAAAGTGTTTTATTTAAATGTGTACTACTCGCGTAAACTATAGACATTATGTTATATTCCATTTGATATGCCTCATGTATTTTAACTATAATAGAAGAATACACCTTATACGAATAGTCAATTCCAGATAATTTGTTATACTAATATTATAAAGCTAAAGAGTTTGTTTCTCATTTGGTATGCAAACAAAAACTACTGGATTGAATTGAAAAATTGTGTATTGGATAAGCCATTGGTCGAAGGATTTAGGCTCTAAATCACGCTGCGACCAATAAACGAAGGAACAATAGAAAAAGTGGAAAACACGGGTAAAATTGTTCGCCTTTCGGGTTTTCACTGCGTACGCTACAAAAACGGTCCAAGAAAACAAAATATGTATGAAAGAATGATTCGTTTGAATAATTTAAAAATGTCCGCTATTAATATGTGTCTATCTTTATCAACATAACAATATTTATCTTCCAAACAACAAAACAACGTTTGCCAGATCATCTATTATCTAATTAATTCGTTTATCGCCAAGTCCTAATCCCCAAAATATTTCAATTTGAGCTTTATTTACAAACAATAGACAAAGCTATAACCGATACATATAGGTTGATATCAGTACCTAAACCGTGTTTGTATTGTCACATTGCAAGGACGAACATCAATAATACAGCATAATAACATCGGATTTCCGTTACACAAAAATCGGGAAGCGCAAATAAAAACTTGTATGGCAACAATGCGACGGAAACCAAAGAACATAATGGCGGAAACCGGATGTGGGCCACACGACTCAACTAATGACAGATAAACTGTCAGTTATATAACTTATTAAGCGGAAATAATTCGTTAGATGATAATAGCAATTATAATAATGCAAGTAAAAGAAGTGTATTGAGATCGTTATAACGTTGATGAATTTTTTGCAAATGTCATTAGGCTCATCTATTGAACGGTTTGTTGTTTACACACTGCTGTGATAAGTGTAAAATGTCTTAGGTTTGGATTCCGGTGAAATGCTTAGTCTTTTATCGAATGTGGCAGATATTGTGGTTATAATCCATGTTTAATACTGTAAACCTGTATTAAACCTAACATGTACAGAAAAACAACAAAACTGATAATATTGAGGGTATAACTTGCAATATAAACATGATATTTGATTAAATAAATATATACCCATTCACGCTTCAATAATGTTAAGATGTTTGCTAGAAAATGGTGTATGTGTAAGCTACAATCAACAGAAGAATCTATGAATCAATTTCCATCACGCACATAGACATATAACCAAACAAAATCACATGCATATTGTTTTATGCTTTTCTCATTCAAATATATAATTTAATTTAATGATGTGGGAAAGTTGAGAATCATAGCGCAGGTATTATTTACTTATAAGGGTTTCACAGATAAAACTAGATCAAAATTTATCTACTTATATTTTTTTTATTTATTGTATAATTAAGAAGATTTTAATTTTATTTCAGATGCTCAAAATGCCAACCCAAGCGCGCTGCGATAGAGTACCTCCTACTGACGGAGGGTGGGGCCCTCTGGACCTTCGGGTTCTACAAGAAGATGATTTGCCTCTCGGTGAGATATTTATTTGTATTACATTATCAAAGAATCTATTAGTAAATCCCCCCGAAACCACGGCTGCTGCAACGTATTCAAAACCTCCTAGTAGTTAAAATAAATCAAAAATAGGTTAACTATAAGCATTGTGTGTAGTTTACTCGAGTAGATTAAATAAAACACCTTTAACGGTTTAAACCGCAAAATATATTAAATATAATAAGTTAACTAATATATTTTGCGCTTTAAACCGTTAGAAGCGTTTAATTTAATTGTTCACACTCGTGTGTGTGATCTACACACTTCTTTCTTTTCTTGTTGCCTTTGTGCATGGCACGTCTGTTTTACTGAACAATTCAAGTGTTTCTTTGAACAACAAAACAATTCTTCAGCTTTATAATATTAGTATAGTTAAATTTAAACTATTAATATAATCTCCATAAATATTAGACCCCAGAACTTGGTGCCGAGCGGATGTCGGTACGTGGGTGTCTCGCAGTGGTGGTCTACCAGAACGATTCCCAATGAATGGGAAAGCGTTATGTCTTATGTCTCGGGAGATGTTCGCCGCAAGAGTTCCTCGTAGCGGCGATGTACTACATCAAGTGAGTTATTTTTTATCTACTGTTAACTTCTGTAGCCTGAAGTGTATTTTTTCTAACTTCAGGTCAGACCACGATTAATATGGCCGATTTAAAATAAATATTTTGAAATTATATTAACTACGGCCCGACCTTTCGGATGCTTTCGTGACCACGGCATTAAAATTATTTCCAAAAAAGTTCAACTAATATATATCGCGGTTTTAAACCGTTAAAACCGTGTTTTATTATAAATGTGTACTACGTAAACTATATACAGAATTTAATATGGACGATATTAAACCATAGAGACCCGTTTCTAACGCTTTTCAGCGATCGTGCATGAGGGGACTTGACTTGACGTAAATGTCAAACTAAAGAAATTATAGTCTGTCCATTAACGTAATTTTTTAAAGATTTTTATTAATATAGCATGAAGTTGTGGTTTTATTGGTTTAATATATAAACCGGTGTTCTCAAAATGTTTTTTGTGAAAATCAAAAAATAAAAATGTAACTTATGTTGGAAAATCACGATTTCATGTAAATTGGACCAAAAAGGACATGTTACAAAAAATCGTATATTATTTAAATTCTATTTCAAAATATGTAATATTATTAACAATAAATCCTTCTGTTCACAGGACTTCAGACGTCGACTGGCGAAAGCGTTAGCACTGCAAGAACTATTGGAAAAATTGGCGAATAAGTAAATTGAAGCAAAAATTAGAAATTACTAAGTACATATCACTTTCTGTAGAATGTTAAATCATATTTGTATATCCAAGATGGTTGGGTTACTAAACTTAAAACTTGGAAGTGAATGGTGAAGCCGTCGCGACTACTCCAAACTGGAGTAGTTCCATAACGAGTCCCTCGAACATAATTCTATTATATTGTGTTACTTGTCTCATATGGGTCAAGTAATTGTGCATTACTTCTTTTGGGGTAACAGTATATAGGCCTGATGGACCCTGTGGCTTGCTCCTTTTGGTTAGTTCAGTATTCTGTGGCCACTTTATGATCATCGTGGAAAGGTGACTCAACGTAGAAAGTAGAATTACTTTCGATTTATGTAAGTCATGATTGCGGAATAATTCCTTCACTTTCCATTTCTATTGTATCTCATTATAGTCTATGACTTTTAACTTAAATGGTAATGTGTAAAATAACAAACAATGACGTCATACTTTTAGTCTTATTAGAGAATACTAGTAGTTTTTAGTAGCCGTTTTAAAATAAAATAAGTATTAAAACAATTCTTTGCGTCTCGGTAGGTTAGGTTAGGTACATAACGCGTTACGTAACGTACAGCTTTATCCATCACAGTAGATACATAATATCATGTCAAAGCCTACCTTTGCTAAGTGTATCTATCGTTTACCTTATAAAAACAAGCAATTATTAAATTTTTTTTATTGAAATATATTCAGTTTTAATATATATGAGACACTATAAAGGTTGTTGACTTCTGAAACGATCCATGATACATGTTTCAAGGTATGACGTCTTATTATCATAATAGTTTGACATTCTATGTAAAATATTATATAAGAGTTATAACTTGTGACTTTAGTATAGGTTTATGAAGTTTTTTGTTATTCGAGGCTTTTTATAAGTTCCTATACGATTTCTATGTGTATATTTTGAATGTATTTTTGTAATCACTTTTTAGCACGATTGTATCTAACAGTATTATGTGGTAGAAATATAATAATTGTTTTATGACACATGTAATATCTAGCTTTTATATTAAGAGTTGAATACTAAACTAATAGTTGAATTACCTAAAACCCAGTGTTAAAACAGCTTTGTAACGACCAAATGTAAAATAATTAGCGAAATAAATTTTAGTTAATTAATCTAGTCAAGCAATATGTAAATAAATGTTGCTGCATTGAAATAACCGGTTTTTATTTTACTGAATTTACAATTTGGTAAGAGTCTAGCTAATAAAAAGTGGATTCTTTCTTATCCTACGCTGGTAATGCCCCACCACGGGGGCATGGGGTGAACACATTATTTTTATGTCCATTTTACTGATCGTTTTATCGGCAAGTAGTTGATCAGACTTCTGTGCCCAACCGAAACAATCTATTATTTTCACAGGATTCAAACCTCTCGCGCTTAACGCAATACTAGGCAACACCAATAGAGACAGATATATTTCTTTCATTATCTGTCTAATTACTACAAAAATACTAGTTTTTTCTTAAGGAACAATTGAAAGACGTTAAAATCTGGCGCCATTCCTGTTCTTTGACAATGACATATTGATCAATACCATGTCTGTACACTGTACAGAGTATATTCATTAATGAGAACTTAAATAATATTATATTTTTAACAAATGTAAGAGTTCATCAAATTCATATCACGCTCAATTTATTTATATGAAAATATACCAGATCAAATAAAATACGAATACGATTTGAAACAATTATAACAATTGTAAAAGTGTAGTAACACGGGTAGGACATTTTTTAATTTATAATCATATTTTGAATTATATAAGTACAAAGCATGTGAAAATAATAAAGTTTTCAAATATACTAAGAGTTAAAACTTTGCTATCTGTTGAACTGACAACTCTTTCGTTCAAAATGTCAATCCAAATGAGTCAAACGTCAACTCTGTATGTCAAAATATTTATGTAATTCAAAAACAAGAAAAATCCGAATTTTCATCTGGTTTCCAATCTCAAAATATTGTTTAAAAGATCTAATTAACTAAATAGAAATGGGTACCGTGCATGCTAAGGTAGTGTAGAATTTAATTAAACATAATTTTGAATTAAACATAATTTAAAAAGGTTATGAGGTAATAGTTTTATTTCGGCATTTCAAACTTTATTCAAATCTCACTAAAGTAACTTAAATTTATTAGACCAGTTCTTATTACAGGCTCACATGTTGCAAGATATGGAATCTGAAAGTGGTTTTTGTAGTATGTTTTATCCATTAAAATCGAAATAAGATAATTTCGGATATGATAAAGTGTAGGCTTTATATAGAATCTGAAGCCTACATACATGCGATCTTTTAATCTTTATATAAAATTAAAAGATCGCATGTATGTAGGCTTATTTATTTACAAAGTAGGCAGTCAAGGTATATACTACAGTTAGGATCATTAATTTGCATGTATCATAATTAATTACTATGTTATATATAATATATAAAGTTAGTAGAGACTGCTTATATTGTGAACTATTTGGGGTGTATTTTAAAATCTAAGAATTTGTATAACTTTTATAAATAATAAGTATTTACAGGCACAAACTGAAAATGTAAATTCAGTGGGAGGTGGTTTATTTGACTTCGAGGAACCAGAGACACTAGAAGAAGCCATCCCCAAACCGACTATTAAGCTTAATGGTGTCAGGGTAAGCGTTATAATTTGTTACCATCTTGGAATTTTTGTTCCTTTCTATTGACACAATACGCATGACACTTGACTATTTTGATATACGACTTAGATCTTGTATGACAGGGGTATTTCATTGATCATCAAGTGAAATACTTATCTTTCCTCTGCAAATTTATTTTTTTTACAAAATTTATATTGTTTAAATAATAAGACACAGTGTATTTCTGTAACTAGGCTCGTGTGGACAGAGTCCACGTGGACGGTCTGAGCAGGACTAAAGACGACATTGTCCGCAGTGCTGTCGATGAACTTTTCCATGCAACCGACTTTGAAGATGTTATCCTGAAGGCACACAAGGTAAAGTCATCTAAAAAAAAATATTAAAAAGTGTTACAAGATAAAATAAATACAAAATAAAATTTAGTAAAACGTAACCTGGGCTAAATGCTTAGGGACTTAAGTATTTGTCTGTACATTTTTTTTTAAAGGTTCGTCGCTCACTCGATTCATTGGGATGTTTCAAAGATATTGGAGTGTTCATAGATGTATCTAATGGTCCGGGTGCTACTCCTGAAGGGCTTGAGGTAATATTAATGTAATAAATATAATTATGAGGTATTAATGCAAAAAATAGAAAATATAGTTTACTGTATTGTCATGTTTTCAGGTGACTTTCCAAGTTCGCGAATTAACTCGTATCGTTGGCGGTATTAACACAACAGTTAGCGAGAATGAAGGAAATCTTGTTCTTGGTAAGTAACAAACCTTTTAAAAGTATACTATTTCCTGTTATGGAAAAGGAAATATGTATATTCTAAAAATATGTATGTACGTAATATGGGTGGTTGCATCAAAAAGCTTCTAGCCTTCTATTGGTAGCAATTGAAAATAATAATATTTCCCGTTGTACAAAGTATATACATGTTGAATGTTACTTTAAGTAGTTGTTGAGAAAAAAAGTAAAAAAAATCCACAGAAACATTCCTATGTGGCATATGTGCATATAACTGTTGTAGTTATATCTTACCTTAAGAGACACCTTTAAAAATATCTGCTTACTTACTGTGTACTCGCAGTATATTTATGAAAATGTATTGTATGCCCATAAGAATAAAAGCAAGTTTAGCAAGAATAGTGATAGGCATCATTTTAACTTACGAAATAAGGATAAACTAGCTATCCCCAAATATACCCTCCATAAAATATCTAAGTCATTTGCGGGAAATTGTATTTGTATTTATAATACATTGCCAGTCGAGATTTAAAATTTATCGATAAATAAATTTAAAAACTTATAAAATGTAGATTATCTCAAAAGGCGTATTATTGTGTGGACGATTTCTATAATGACAAGACCGCCTGGCTGTAATATGAATTGCTCCTGTCAATGAATTAAGAAAAATGTATTAGTTTATAGGATATATTTAAAAAAGCCGGACTGAGTATCTTGGGTGTTCTTCTCAGTTTTGTTGCTCTTTTGAACACTCTGTAGAAACAGACAGACAAACGAAAAAAAAATTGACGAATCTAAATACTTTTTCAATTTTAAAGAGTATAAAGTATATTTTATTTTATTTTGCTTAATCGGTGAAACAGGCATACAGAATGCACATTCACATGCTCAATATAACAAGCGCAAATAGTTCTGGTTTCTAATAGGATTTAGAGGTAACTAGATTCCCCACATTATAGATAAATAATCTTTATATGTGGGTAATTTACATTTATATATGAGGCTGCTAGAGGCAGAGTGGCTTAATAACAAAAAAAATATTTTCAATAAGGAGGAAAATAAAAATGCACAATTAACGTAAGCAAATAATTATTGTACTGTTATTTGTGTAAGACTTGTTAACAATTTTCGGTCACTGCGCTCTTGTAGATTAACATTTTTAGGCTATAAAAATATAAATAAGTTAGGTCATAATATTGCAGTTAGGCTACAATGTATTTAGCGGCTTCATATACTAGGTAAACCTAATATACTGAGACTAATTGAACTAAATAGATCATTCAATCGATCAACCATTCACTCAGGTGTCCGCCTTCCGAATGTAGCGGGGCGTGGTGAACGAGTGTCGGCAGAGTACAGTGTGGGCCATCGCAGCTCATCTAACTTTAGTGTCGCTGCCACAAAACCCTTCACTAGGAGCGCCTTACAACCTGTGTTAGTACCTAAAATTCAAATAATTTTATCCCCATCAAAGCACATACCAAGAATATACAGATATTATACAATGATAAAAAACATTGCTGAGGAAGGACATCCCTCAGCTATCGCTGCAACAAAACTGTTGTTACAGTAACACCTGAGTGATTTTCAGAGTGACAGCCAGAAATAATAAGGAAGCTAATAAGGAGGAAATACAAGTATACATGTAAAATAAACTACAATGCAACAAAATAAAATAAGCATATTATAAACTATAAAATAAAATTAATACTCTAAGAAAGAGATACTAACAACTTCAGATTCACTACACACGCCTCTAAGTGAGATCCCTATACTCCGAAAGACATTTTTTGTATTTTAATTTAAAGAAATTTAGCCCAACGATTACTGGTGTTTATTTATTTTTGCAAACCTCAACTCAGATTTTTGCCTCTAGAAATATCTACAATAAATATATACTAGCTGTGCCCGCGTAACAACCAGGTTACGTGGAGTCACTTTAAATGAGGGTTTAGATTCAAAATTTAATATGTGGACCTCACTTTTATAAACTACGTGCCGTCGTTTTTGCAAGTTAATTTTAACAGATAGACATATTGATGCGGACATATTTTTAGATAATTTAAAGACGAGTTATTTTTCACCCATAAGCAATGCACTCAATGAGAAATAATTTTCCCGTTTCGTCCACATTTCCCGCTGTTGTTCCTATTGATGTTTTATAGGTAAAATGGTCCTACTGCGTTGGTAGGACCAAAAGTATATTTCAATTCGAGTTAGTACTTCCGAGAGTAGTAGTTCAAACAAACAAACTCTTCAGCTTTATAATATTAGTATAGATTTTTTAAATTGAGTGCAATTTTCAGGCTAACGACTTCAGTGTACCAACAAAACCACGAGTATCCATGGTCTGGGTATAGACTTCTAGATCGTGGGGTGTTGCTAGATATCGCTTTTAGAACTTCACCTGCTGTAAGTCATCTGCAATAAACAATTTTCATTCTTTGATTATATCCACTTCTAATTATAATATCCTGTTATCGTTTTTTCAGACAAAACATAACCTACAATGGGAGGGAATGGTCCGCGACACATCAGTACTGAGTAAAACTACCAGCTTTAAAGTTCGAGAAAGCAGTGGTAAGTAAACCCAAGGCTTGTCCTATATATTTGATGTGTTTGTTGGTGTAATGCTAACAATGTACGGCTAATAAGCAACGGGTCGTGGATTGGATCCCCATCGGGTCCAATGTTTTTAATTCATTTATAATTCTTCTGAAATATGTCGGACTTCGTCTGGAAATCCGCATATTATATGGGTGGTAGTAATATCAAAATTCCGTCCGGGTCACAAAAAAAAAAATCCGTTTCCGGGAAATATCCGTAACGTTTAGTCACGTTTCGGTTTCAGTCTGTAGATTTCCCAATATCTAAAGCCAAGATAGGACGACAGCGCATTTTGTTTAGATGCTACAGGCCTATTTAATCTAGCATTAAATGAACTTCATACGCGTCTATCCACTATCATTAAAATAAAATATATATATGTAAAAATTTACTAAGGTCAGAGAAACATGACATTTATTTATATATTTAAATATTCTTTATTGCACAAAACATAATAATGATCGAAATTAAACTTATATACTAGAATGAAGAGCAACTTAATATTTGTTTAAAAATCATACAATAAATGACGAAAAATTTCATCAAATCTGGTCAAGCCATGAGCTTATAAAAGTAACATTTTTTTATAATATTAGTAATAATATCTGTTCATACAAAAGCCTTTAGATTTCCGCCTTTCACTCTTCACTCGTTCGTTCTCCAGGTCCCGTCTTGAAGTCGGTAATCCGGCACATAGTAACAGTGGATCACAGAGACGAATCGATATTCCCGACGCGCGGTACGTGGGTTCAATTCTCGAGCGAATTGGCTGGACTCGGCGGCGGAGTCGCTAACATCAAGACGGAATTACAAGCGGAGGCTAATAAGGAGATTGTACCTGGTTTTGTGAGTAATATAACACTAGCTGTGCCAGCGACTTCGTCTGAGTAGAATAGTTATTTTAGGCGTCAAAATTTGTCTCTCTCTTCTCATCTCTATTACTTATAGCTGTATACCACGACGTCCGTCGCGTGCCGTCATTCTTGAAACTTAATCATAAAAGATATATAGCGTCGCGGACTTTTTTTAGGTCATACATTCTTTCATTCATATTCTCTGGGTATTTTGAACCGTTGTCGCAGCGTAAGCGTTGAAATCCTACGGAGATGAATAATTTTCCCCTTGTTTTTCACATTTCCCGCTGCTTCTTCACTCCTATTAGTCACGTTTATAGCTTATAATCTCCCTCGATAAATGCTTTAACCAACGCAAAAATATTTTTTCAATTCGAACCAGTAGTTCCCGAGATAAGCGCGTTCAAACAAACAAACTCTTCTTTTATATATTAGTGTAGATAGATTCGTTTTCAATATTTGTATGTATAAGTATGCAGTTAAGTAAATAAAAGACTTTATATTATTATAGGTAGTCCAACTAACTGGGGCAGCGGGAGTGCTACACGACGTCTTCGGTACGGAGCTGCCGGAGTTCTTCTATCTTGGAGGGCCAGCGACGTTACGGGGATTCCAGCAGAGAGGTGCGGGACCTCATTGCGATGGTCTAGCGACTGGTGGCACTGTGAGTATGTTGGGAAGGGAGAACATTAAGCTGTTCTTATGGGCTCGTTGCTCAATGGATGCATGGCCTATAACCAACGGGCTGCGGGTTCGATTTCTACCAAGTCTTAGTTTTATAATTCTTTAAATATTATATATCTGAGAAATATTGACATTAAGTAGCTATTGGGAACTTCGAAATTCAGTGTGGATCACAAATCACTCTTCATTTTTGAATTGTATAAACCTTTAATAGGTTGACAATCTATGCCAAATGGCGATCTTAGTCAAATGCTGTGTAAGTCGCAAATCGTCATTAGAACTACTAATTTATAATTTTTAATGAATTATGTATGCCATGCATTTAATTAAGAATTTAAATAAGTTATTATTTTTCTTTTGTCATAGATGTATTGGGCGTCAGGTCTGCACCTGTACACCCCCCTCCCCTTCCAGCCGGGGAAAGGTGGACTAGGAGAGTTGTTTAGATCTCATCTCTTCCTCAATGGTGGCTGTTTGGCGCACCCAGGTATGAAAATATAAATGGACTAGCTGGTGTCCGCGACTTCGTCTACGCAGGATTAGTATTAGGATTACGTAGTATCGCGGATTTAAACTAAATGATGTCTATCATATCGTACATTACATAATTATATGTAACTAACGTTTATGGCAGCGCACGCCAGAATAGCTCGCAGAAAGGTAGGTTTTTTTTCTAGTTACTTGGCACTTAATGTCATATTTTGGACAGCTCACACAATATCATTATAAATTATAGCCTATGTGTTATTCTGATGCATAAGCTATATTATTGGAAAGTTTAATTTAAATCCATTCAGTAGTTTTTGCGTGAAAGAGTAAGAAACATCCATCCACACATACAAACTTTTATAATATTAGTAGGATTTGCATAAATATAAATGAAACTCCGTTTTTCCCCTAACAGTTTTATTAATTAACAGTATAGTAGGTCATTAGACTCCTGTTCGCGGCGAACACAGTTCAAGGTAGTGAAAAAATATGTTAAAATACCTTCCTTCTTCTCCTAACTTGTCTAGGTTTTAAGATTAACTTGAAGAACGATGTGGACGAAGTCGCTGACACAGCTAGTATATATATTTCATTGTAGTCGTTCTATATATTTCAGAGGAGAATAGCCAAGCGATAATCGAAGCGTTGTCCGCTGTGCGGGTCTCGTGCGGCGCCGGAGTGGCGTTGCGTTTGGGTCGTGTCGCGCGAGTCGAGCTCAACTATTGCTTCCCGCTGAAGGCGAGCGCGGGAGATGCGCCTGCGCCGGGTCTGCAACTGGGTGTCTCAGCGCACTTCTTGTAGAAGTCAGTATTTTGCTTATCTCTCTCTTTCTCTCTTTCTCTCCTTCGTTAGTACCTATTATACTGGCTAGATGACGTTGAGTAGAACAAAATTGGAGATACTTAAACCAAGATAGGACGATTGACCAATCCAGGCCCGTATATACTGTATGTAGTTTACGCAAGTAGTACACATTTAAACAAAAAACTTTAACGGTTTAAAGCGCGATATATATTAGTTAAACTTACTTGAAAATGATTTTTAACTACAAACGTCGGGCGGTAAAGTCGCGTTGTACACCGTTACAGTGTTTTATTTAAACAACTTAGTAATAAAAAGTAACTTGTCTTTTTCTTTGAACCATTCTAGAACAAACTAGTGTAACATATAAATCAACCTACATGAGTAGTAATCCTAAATTACTTGACATAAAATTTTTCATGGCCCCCACCAACAGGTTAAATAGGATTATAGGAAAGGCATTATAGGATTCTTAGGATTGTTTTTAATAGACTCATACTCTATAAAAAAAACACACGGTCAGCTTCTAAAGCTTCCCACTTTGCGGTGGTCCAAGCTGAGTCCGATACCCCCTTTGGGACACTCTTGGTCTGGCCGCAAAACGTCAGATTAGCATAGGTGGCTCCGGAAAAAAATAATAAACAACGAGAGTAAATACCTAGATTCATGATGAATGTATTTTTTTTTCAGGTACAAAAGGGACCGAATTTAATACATATAATAGTTCTGATGAAACAAATGTAAATTATTTGCGTATCTGTAGACCTTGTTGTGTTGAAATAAACAATAATTGTTACCATTTTGTGTTTTAGTTTGTTACAACACAATATTGCGTTGAGTGGTTCTTTTCGATTCACGAGTCTGGAAGCGCTAGCTATATCCGGCGACATTCGCTAGTACATCTAAGAATTTAGATCCCTCCGTAAGATCTAAATTCGTGACCATGTTCACGAAGGTGCCAACGGTTCTCGTCTGATCGTCTAGAAGTTTCGACATAACCGACTCGAATTTCGAAAACTCCACGTTCGTCGCGTCCGTGACGTCATCGAACAGGTGTCGCACCTTTTCTTCTGTCACTCTGACTCCATCGATAAGTTCGTCTACAAAATATAATTACAAACAAAAGTACTATTATGAATCTATGAGGGAAAACTCTTAAAACTGGAGGTAATCAATAAGTAATTTTTCGTCTAGTTTGACTAATTAGACGGAGAAAAATGGCAGTGTTTGTCTTCGAGTTATTAAAGATATTGAATGTGAGGCTGCTAGAGGCAGAATGGCCTAATAATAAAAAACATGATTTTCAATAAGCAGGAAAAAAAACATGCGCAATTAACTTAGGCGAAAATGATGATGTTTTTGTAAGAATGATGTTAACAATTTTCGGACATTTTTAGACTATGATATAACTCAAGTTATAAAATTGCAGTTAGGCTACTCTGTCTCTAACTACCTCATAGGTAGAAGACAAGTAACAAAGTATGATTTCTATAGGATTGTACCTAGCTGAAGTCTCGTGATAGTTTGTAATGGTGGTTTTTCTACTAATATATTATAATTGAACTGTTGTCTGTTGTATTGTACTAGGAGTTTATTTGTTAGCTCTAGTTAGATTGTTAATGAAGTTATTTTAGTGTTATTAACATACGTACGAGATCTTAGTATCCTACACAGTAATCAATTTAATCTGACTTAGGCTTTGAGTTTTTATTAACGTCCTACAAATTAAAATTTTTAAGGAATATTTTGACGAGCGCATTGGTCTTATGGTAGCGATGTATGGCTAAATCAATGGATCGTGGGTTAGCTCCAATTTTTCAATTTATAATTGTTCTGAAACATGCTGGACTTCGTCTGAATACCAGCATGTTAAATAGGTGATAAGAATATAGAAATTCCGCCCGTGTCACAAACCACCGTCCACAGATGAAAAAACCGTGAAGCTTAATCGCGTTTAGGTGTCAGTATGTGGCTTTCGGAATATTAAAGCCAAAATAGGTCAAGAGCACAACTTGTTTATGCCATAAGCTGGAGTATATCACCTAGAATCAAGTGAACCATTATTATGCTATTTCTGTCCTCCTGTAACTGTAATTAAAAAATCCTCATGTCTTCGTATTCAGTACAAAATAGTCAAAATTATACTCACTGTCTTTCATTAGCAATATAATGTTATCCACAGAATTTAATTTTGCGTTTTGAAGTTTCTTGAACGCGATAAGCAAATACACAAAAAGCAGGACGCACATTATTCAAATTTTCCTTTTTGCACAAATCCAATTACGACGATAACCCAAAATTAACGTGTCAATGTAATTTGCACAGATTATGTTCTGTTTAGAATTAACCACGAAGGAGGTAAATTTGAATGTGTTTTTATAAGTTATTGTTAATTGGGTTGCGGAAATTAGATTTTTTCTACAGAAACACATAGTTACTTAGAAATGACACGCAAAACTATATATTCAGCTTAATTAATTTATAATTAATAAAATTTATCTCTATCTCAATTTGTCGTGTGTTTTTAAACTATAATATTATGTCATTCGCACAAACACAATAAAAAAAGCAAAGTTACCTATGTTCGGATAGAAGACCTCCTTTATTTGATGTCAAAGAAAAATATAATTAAAACAAACATATTATTAAGTAATCATTTATTGTGACAAGGTTTCTAGATTTAATTTTGTTCGTGTTTAAATTTTTTTTACGTAATAAGTTCTTTTGTTTATACATTTCATTTTTACACCCTATCTAATGACGGTACTACTTAAAAGGTACAAAAAAATACGACACGGGCAGGCCTGGAACCGGCATCGTCAGCTTCCCGTGCTGTTGCTCTACCAATTGAGCAACCGAGTCCTACACGTCATCGTCGAATTTTTTCAACTTATTGATGCATGTACCTCTCGCGTAGTGTAATTTCATGGTATGGTAACACTTAAAATCTATAAAACAATTCTCTGTTAATTGTCAAATTCATTTAAATTGTAGTATTACCTACAACACATCTTTTATAACGGAAGATAGACCGGATCGAGGTTTAATCTTAAGGAGAAACTTATTTTCGACTATTTCAACGGTTAGTGGTCCGGACAGAATTTTAATATTACTAAGTCTTTAAAAACATTGTTACCGGTGGGAATTGACCCGACGACCAGTTGTCAGGTGGTAGTTTATTTCATTATTATGTAGCGCTACAACAAATATAATTTCTACATTTAGAATGCTAAAAAAGGCCGCTGTTTTCTTGGTATATTTGAATAAACTTAGGGGTTGTCCATTAATCACGTGACCTTTTTTTAGAATTTTTAAACCCCCACTCCCCCATTGGTGATACGTAGTGAGGTTCAAGACCCAAGAAAATCGCGCGTTTGACGAAAAAATAAATACACGAGATATCTTATCCCCCCCCCTCCTGTGGTAATTTTCGTGATTTTTATCAAACCCCCCCCCCCCCCTTTAAAGCCTCACGTGATAAATGGACAACCCCTTACCTAAAATAGTTGTGGTCAGTACAGTCTATTTCTAGGCCTAAATGCCAAAAATATCGAATACTAGCAGACCTGGCAATCGTTCCATATAAAGTACTAGCTGTGTCAGCGATTTCCTCCGCGTCGTCCTTCATCTTTATAAACTTAGCTGTTACCCACGACGTCCATCGCTTCCCTTCCCATCGTTCTTGCAAATTAATCTTAAAAGATAGACATAATATGGCGTCGCGGACTTTTTTAGATTATTTAAAGAGGAATAATTCTTTTATACATATTTTTTGGGTATCTTGAACCGTTTTCACAGAAACCCTTAAAGAAAAAACAATTTTCCCCGTTCTTTCCACAATTCCTACTGTTTCTTCGCTCCAATTGGTCTCAGCGTGATGTTTTATAGCCTAGAGTCTTCTTCGACCAACACCAGAATTCTTCAATTCGAACCAGGAGTTCCTGAGATTAGCGCGTTTAAACAAACAAACTCTCCAGCTTTATAATACTAATATAGATTATCATTTATGTAACTTTCAACCTTTTTTACACATTTCCACTCATTATTTCAGCTAACTAGGCAAATTACTACTTGAAGTAGTACAAAAGTCAGTTTCGAAAAATATCGCGGAGAGCAATAGAGCCTGCGCGGGCGCAAGAAACACTGCTGGTAGGCGATACAGGCCGACTCGAGGGCACGTTGATGAAATCCAATCTAAAGAAAGTTTCAAATTATTACCATTAATATAATATTAATAAGGTATTATTAGCTTAAAAATTGATTATAATTTGAAAAAAATTACGACTAGGGCAGGACTCGAACCGGCATCCACAGCGTTGCTGTTACTCTAACCAATTGAGCTACTGAGCTTTAATTCAGAATCCACTATTAATTTATATCATGTGGAAAATATTAAAGTTTTTAAATGTTACCTAGGCGTTTAAAATGTTTAATGTTCTAAATGACTTAATGTTCTTCGTGCATAAAGCGCCAGAGGTCCTGGGTTCGAGGACCTGGAATTATATTATGGAGTTCTCTTGATGGCCGGTGAAATATCCTAGCCATATAATATCGAAACCAGATACGTTGTCAACCTGTTTTTGGATATTCGAAAATCCACAGACTGAAACCGGAACATTTTTCTGTGGATTTCCGAATATCCAATGACAAAATAGATGATAAGGCGGGGGGGGGGTGTGTGTAATTCACCTACCAAGTAAACCCCATGTTAGTCTGTTCTCCTCAATCATAAATAATATATTACCGTTTCTAGTTGACTTTGGAGTAGACACAAGTAACAATAATTGAGCTTCGTGAATGTCTAGAAGTCTGCATTTCACGTAGAGGTAACTCGCGACCGAGACTGTACTTAACCAGCTTGCAACTGAAAATAGATCGTTGGAACATTTCAACAGTTTAAAATGCGAGCTATATTATCTAGCTAAAATAGTTATTTTGGGCGTCAAAGTGTGTTTTTGCAAACCTTTTCTTTATAAATTACTACCTGTGCCCGCGACTTCGTCCGTGTGGAATAGTGACTTGGAGTAGGATTTTTAATTATTTGGGCTGTTTATTAATTTATGTAAGGGCGCATTTAAGGCAGCACATTTATGGTAAGTGCTACTTTGCCGCAACACTCGCACCTCACATCACTCCTACTCTAACACCCACTCTCATTCCTACACTCACTCCCACTCCCACGCCTTCTCCCACCCCCATGCCCACGCCTTCTCCCACTCGAACTCCTATTCCCAAAAAGCCAAAGAAGTAAGTTTACTTGTTCTATCTTTAAAAACCACTAATTTCCGTACAACTTTTCAACCCCCCCTTTTAACCCCTAACAATCCCCTTTTCGCGATGAATACGCAATTACGTGAATGAATAAACAGCCTATATATTTAAAAATTCTACCCGAAGTCACTATTCCACGCGAAAGAAGTCGCGGGCGCAACTAGTATGAGTGTAAATCAAAAAGTCAGGATCTTACCTAGAACTAAAGTTGAAATGACGTCCGATATATAAAATATGCCTTCGGCTTCTAATAACAAGCTGCAACAATCCACATACAAGAGTAATAAAGCTGATAGCTTACTTATAGTTGGACCTGAGGAGAGAAAGAGACGGCTACACAATTGTGATTGAAGCATTATTTAATATGATTTTTTATGAGAAAAGGACAGACAGGGGTTTAATGGATGGTAGGTGAAATACCCCAGCTATAACATGTAAACAATATGCGCTATCGACCTATTTTGCCTTTGGATATTCGGAAATCAACAGACTGAAACCGATACGCGACTAAACTTCGTGGCTTTTTTGTCGTCACCCGGACGGAGCTTTCGATATTCCAACCATCCAATTCGCTTCCCGATTTTCACACGAAGTCCAACATGTGTCAGAAAATTTATACATTGATTGGAAACATGTTGGACCCGGTGGGCATCGAACCCGCAACCAGGTGATCGTTAGCCGTACATTACTACCATTACGCCAAAGAGCCTGTGATGATTGAACAGTGATTAGAAATAGGCCAGTCTTTCTTTGATTATTTTATCTTTAAAAAAAAGAAGATATTCGCCGTGGGGTTTGGGCAAACAAATTTCTGTATCAAGCTGTTCATCTGATTCCTTTGCTCAGTTCAGAAACTCGTATCCTTAACACATAGCTAGGCAACACGTCGACCAATTGAGCTTGGCGGTCAGTATTAAAAAAAAAAAGTGTTTTCATTTAGAAATATATTTACCGTATTGATTTTTACTGGCAGTGGCGTAAGTACCAACTAAGTAAGGTAACGCCGCAGTCACAGCGACCGCTTTTAATTCTTCTAGTGGAGGAATTGGGGCTTTTCCACACTGTAAAGTTATGTTTACTATGATTATCTTGAAAAACTTTATATTATTATCACACTTTAAGCATAATTTAAATATATCAGCAGTGGCGTAGCTATCGTAGAGCCCGGTGGTACATTGCACCAGGGCCCTGGCCCTCGACGGGCCCTTTTCCCTTTAACCTAAGTTGAAAAAAGCGAGTAAGCCAACTCGCCCGCTTTTGAAGATAGGCAACCTCGACTCTGCTTGCAAGATTTTTTTTTTTAATTTCATGATTTTATGTCCATGGCATCATGTTCTTTCATATATTGATTTCATCTGGGTAATAAATATTTTATACTGTCATGTGCGTCGTTGCGTTTTTAATCCTATTTTCTTTTATCAAACACAACGATCCTACCCCTTATAGAGATGACGTATGGATTTAGCCTACTAATGAAAAGTTCATCCCACAGTATCCTTTATTTTATTCCATTTATATTCCTAAGAGGGGGTGAGGCCCCGATTCTTTTTCTATGCACCGGGGTCCTTGCCCCTGCAGCTACGCTACTGAACATATGTGGATTGGACCCCTTTTATTTATATAATCCTGACATTTGAAATTTAAAAAGAACAGCGTTAAACTCTATAGTTTAATATTTAACATTTTTATGCATATCCTATGCAAGCAGTAATAAAATTTTATCATTGTATTTTTTTCCTATACCTGTATTTACTTTTCTTTCTATGCTAGTTCTATAGATAAGATAAATAGAGAAAAACAATGTTGAAATTTTATTCTCTAAATACTTTACCAATAGTAAGTGTGTTAGCGGTGTAGTCAGCAGGGACACCATGTAGGTGCATCCAGCCAGTAACGGTGTGGTCCCGTTCATATAAAACGACAATGATACCCAAGCACAAGGACCGCTAGAACTCGCTAACATAGCGCTGAAAACAAACAAATTTTAACTCGTGCGCCGTTTATTTATTCGTCGATATTAATTTTCAGACTACCGTCTTACCATTCCTTGTGGGTACTTTGTAATAAATTAAAATTGGTGGCAGGAACATCAAAATTACGTCCGGGCTATCCCTCTTTTTTGTTGCAGTCTGTGGCTTTTCGAATATCCAATTTAATTGTTTAGATGTTATATGGCTCGGGTAATGTACCTACCATTGATTGGACCCCAGGCTTTCTATCCTCTATCATTTAATATTTAGATAACCAACCAACTTGTCAATACAAAAATAAACTTCATATAATAATTTATGAATATTAATAAACTCACCCCTCTATAACTCGTTTATCAACAGCCACAGATAATGCATTTACAGTGACAGCACAGAGTATAACGCTTGCGACATTAGCATGAAACGCGGTCAACATATACAACCTCGGTCGAGCTGGTCGGTATGGAAGACGTCCAGCATTGAAGTATATGCACGACAGGGGTATGTAGCTGAAATACTCCGAAAGGCTTCCTGTGAAAACAACATTGGCTTATAGGCACAGATACTAATCTAACACATACATTTAGAATCATCATAGGCAATTAATAAAAGTTATAAATACTTTTTCGAGTTTTTATTTTTATAATATTATTAATGGTCGCTGCGGGTATATTTTAAATGAGTATTACGAAATGGATTATTAGAAAGATAAGAAGTGATTATCTTAAGGAAAAGTAAAATGTTTTTAATTATAATATTTCATGCATAAGGAAAGTGCGAAGAGAATTGACGTTCTATTCCTTAGCGCACGAATAGACGTTTAGACTTTTGTAACAGTTCCTCAGCTAACAAGCATAATTTTATTGATTCTATTGATGTCTAAAAATTTTAATATTTTCACATTATATAAATTAAAAATCGATTAAGATCGATTTTTTTTGGACATGGTAACGGCACGCAACGCCGTGGATGGCGTTTTATGTTCCGCCTAGATGTAGATGTTTTTAAATCTAAATATATTTATAACGAATTAATTATGTTGGTTCAGTAATTCAAACACTAGAAATCTAGAGATCTGTAGTCGAATGTAAAGCACTGTACAACGGAGGCACAATAAATGTTCAAATGGCTTTTTTTTATAGAAGAGGACATAATAATAATAATTAAATAAAATATAATAAATTCTCTTACAAATTAAAAAAAATATTATGTAGATAGTACATAATATATATTATCCAACTGGATAACTACACTATCTAATAATTAAAAGTTTATTAGTTTTACGAAGTTCATCTCGTAAATCTTAGTGTCTAGATTGAGATGTTGTGTATGTATGTCACTAATTATATAATTGCAGACACCTTATTTTTAGCTTTAAGAATAAAGTGGATGTATTTTTATGATATAGGTCATACAAGTAGGGAGATGAATGGTAAAATACGCAAGCCGTATAGAATTTATAAAGACGATTTAGATTTTTACGGTTTATCCAATTCTGCTAACGAGTTGCAAATACATTGTGTTATATAAGAAGTAATCGCGAAAATTGAATAAATGATAATGATAGTTTTAATGGTACTCTACAAATCTATAAATCTTTCTGTCGACGTCGAAATTTTGGGCCGTAGTTTATTTATTTATTATTGCTTTATTATTTATAAAACACACCACAGTAAATACATATAATTGAGGAAAAATCTTACTTCCTAACTTATAAATAAAAGGCGGCCTAGTTTAGTTAGTTAGTAGTAGTTAGTTTAGTTAATATATATCGCGTTTTAAACCGTTTAAATCGCGTGATAAAGTGTTTTATTTGATTTTGTTTATTCTGAATATGAATTTCCAATTTTCAAAATGTTATTCAAATATCTTGCAAGTGTAAAAATGTTATTTGTCAAGGAAGTTTATAAGTGCTGAATAAAACAAGCAATTACCTAATCTACTCAACTAATAGATGAAAGAAAATGGTCATCACAGTTTTAAGAATTAAATGATCATTACACGGCTGATAGTGCAAGAGCTAAACTAAGCATGCATTATTCATTGCCTCCAGGGGCGCCGTATTTTGGCGCCAAAACCGCTAACGCTACGACCACGAGAACACCAAACAGAAGCCAACGCTTTTTAAATTCACACCATAAATCCACTCGGTATTCACTATTTGTAACTATTTTTTGTCGCTCATATTTATAAATGAGTGCAGTAGAGCTAGAATTTTGCATTTTTTAAATTATTTTTTATATTTATAACTGTGCACAATTTTTAACTTTATCTATAACTTAACGTAACGTATTCTGTATTGAATTATTATCTCCGAATTTCAATTCGAGCTTTGCAAGATTGTGGAATCAATTCAAGTTGTGATTTTACATTTGAAATACCGCGCTGCGCAGTGCGCATCTGCATTGCTACACAACTGTCAAAATGACAACCCTAACGGCAGCGTTCAGTTATCGAATTAAAATATATATATTTTAAAATTTTGTTTAATAAATAGGATAATGCTTTATTTAACAAATTTAAATAAAAAAAAATTAAAATTAAACTGAACTGCAATTTTATACACATGTTCATAAAAAGACAAAGACATTAAATATAATATTACTTTTAATTTTATGGTTTTAAACCAGTCAGTACATAGCAAATAACATTTATTCAATTGTCATGAAAATTGCTTTATTATCGCTGTAATGTTGTATTTAGTACGAAAAGCTACGTAAATAAATAAACTATAGAACATAAGCCTCTCTCCTCACTTTTGTAGCAATCTAAAAATTTAATAATAGGACTTTTAACAAGTTTATATGTTTTTATGTAGATGTAATATTTATTATGTTTTCGTCATGGACATTGTGTTTGACAGAAATTGACATAAAATCTAGATGTTCGTTATTTTCGAATTTGATTTCTTAAATTATAAATTATAGTGATTAAAACATGGAAGACTTGTTTAAAAATCTACAAAAAGACGGTAAAAATACCGTCGATAACTTAATAAAATGGATGAAAGATTGTAAGTAGACAATACGTGTAAATAGCCATGTTTTAGTAGGTTCTTGAGGGAGATAGGGAGGGGAGATAGGTAAGCTTATCTTGAGAACTGAATATTTATTACCATTCTTATTTTTATATCAATATGTTTTTGTAAAAAATCTGTAATTATTTCGTATTGTCTTCTAGCTAAAATTATTGATGGCAAGACAGAGACAGAAGAAAAGGCGCGGAAGTTGTTCGATGACGTTTCGGATGCCAAGAATGTAGAACTTTCCAAATTTAAGGCTGCCTTGTCAAAACTCGCCACAGAGCAGCAGAAGAGCGTGGAGGGCTTAATGAAAACTCTTGCGGATGAAGGGCCGAAGTTCCTGAATGCCGCTGCAGAGGCAGCGAGTGCTGCCGCTAGTGCTTTTAAAGATGCTCTGAAGTTTAAATAATCATTAAAAGACGGGCGAACTTTTCTGTCTTTCTTTATTATATAGTATATACCCTCATAATAGAACATTTTGTTTAATACTCTCGATGTAGAGGTATGTTGGCTATTGAACTGGAGTGTCCTGCCCGAAGGAGTAATTTACCGAGAATCGAACCTAATTCTCTCGTCAGTAATTCAGTGTTAGGATTTATGCAATATTTTTGTTGCCGTTTAAAGTGATTTATTTTAAGATTCTGAAAAAAATATTGTATATAAACCACAGACCCTGCAATATTTAGAATACGGTGAGCTGTTTGTCATGTGTTTGCCATTAGCATAGGTAACAAATATTATAATAGTGTCATAATTAGATAGCATATGTGATTTCGCCGGCCGGCCGGTTAGGCCAAGTGACTTCCGTTTTTGCATATTAGGCACATGATGGACTGGACCTTAGTTAACGTTTGAACATTTTATTTCATATTGCAAATTTTATAATTCTGAAATATCAACACACAGAATGAACTTAAATGTTTATCCTTACTATAATATATATATTATAAATTGTAATATTATAAATGCGAAAGTACCTCTATCTGTCTGTAACTTTTTCACGCCAAAACTACTGAACGGATTTGAATGAAATTTGGTACACAGATGGTCTAGACCATGAGAAAGAACATAGGCACATACTTTTTATTGCGAAAAAAGGGGTTGTAATGGGTTAAAAAAGGGGGGGGGGGTGAATGTTTGTTTGGCAATTCGAATTTTTTTAAAGCTAGAACAATGAACCTTTTTTCTTTGGCTTTTTGGGAATGGGCGTGGGAGTGGGAGTGGGAGTAGGAATGATGTGAGGTGAGAGTGTTGCACTTACAACATAAATTGGCTGCGAAGAATGCACAATTACATAAATTAATAAACAGCCTACATAATTAAAAATTCTACCCCAAGTCACTATTCCACGCGAACAAAGTCGCGGGCACAGCTAGTACATAATGTAAAGAAATATTGTAAATTATTTTTTGATTGTTATTCTATTTACATATTTGTGTTATTTAGAAGTTGACTTCCGTTTCCCTTTGTGATTTTATTTACAGTCAGTGCCTGTAAATAAAACCAACCCCAGTCCCCAGGATTCGTACCAAAACCATTTAGCTACAGAGGCGGTCTGTTGGTCGGTGTCTTTTACACAATCCTTGATGATTTTTTACTTTTTGCAAAATGTTGCCACAACTAAAAATTCGTTTCTTTTTTTCTATAAACTATATAATTAATATTTTTATCTAATTATGAATACTAACTTATACTAAGATGTCACCAAACATCACATAAAATTATAATTTTCCTCGAAATATAGACTTCCTTTTGCTCAATTTCTTTATTTCCTGACAACGCCCTGTGCATAATAACAATGCAATTAGAGAGAATTTAAATATTTATTTTATTCATTAGTGTTGCCTATTGCCAGTTGCCACATGACTTAAGACATTATTGATTCTATAGTTTACTTTATAGATAATTTATTACTTCAAGAGAATATTCATATTTGTATTGAATGCCTTTTACGGGAGTAAAAAAAAACGTCACGTGCAGTGGGAGATTAATATGGCAAAGAATCAACGGGGCGTGGGTCCGCTCCAACCAGCATTAACATGTTTCTAATCAATTTGGATATTTTCAATGTGTTTCGATTGCTGTCTGTGGATTATCAAATGCCAAGGTCAAACATAGGATAGCGACAGTGCATCTTCGTCCGTACCCTTACGTAGAGGTACTTACAGTCACTGTAATAACAATACAGTTGTAAGAACCTTCCTCGTAAAATATTCGTAGACTTGTAATGTAACCTCAAATTACTGTCGCTTGAAAATTAAATACGTTATTTTCGTTTCGTTGCGGTTATCAGACTTCCGACCTTTACAATATGATTATATAATTTTATTTCCTCAGTGTCATTTAATATACTGCGATATACATTAATTCTATTAAACATGAATAGCTGTTTGAAAAATTTATAATTTTTTACATGTTATTATAGCACATGAAGGCACTATATAATTTAAAAATCGAAAATAAATTAAAAAAATTTCAGACTTGGGCAGGACTTGAACCGGAGTCTTCAGCAGTCCGGGCTGTTGCTTAATTTTTCAAACTGCTAATCGATTTTTAATTTATAGACTGCCATCGTGTACAATAGAACGTGAAAAATATTAAACTTTTACTTATATTAAAAAGTAATAAATTAACTATAGAGTTAAAAGGTAAGGGATTCTTACTAAAACCCCTCTCTTCGTTGACAACGAACATAGGGGCCCATCAGGTTAAAACCAAATCCAGTTCAAGGTAGAGCCAGAAGTATACTGCTGGAGCTGGAGTCATGTTTTTATCAACCGATTTCAAAAAAAGTAGGTCCTATTTTATGTTTGTTCACGCATAAATTCGTTTATTGTTGATATTTTTTTTTAAATGGAAAGTAGATGTCTCCATATTGGTTTAGTTTTCCTATTTTTGGAGACTATCGTATGGAAGGTAGCGTTAGTAAGTTTTTCAAACATTTGGTACTTTAAAGCATTATAATTTAATACAATTATGTGCGATATATAGTAACAGAATGTATTACTGTAGGTAATAAGGTAAAAAAACAATGATATTTCATAGTTAAGATTATTTAAATATAACACTTTAACGGTTTAAAACTCGATATATTTGTTAAACTTATTTGAAAATGATTTTTAACTTCGGCCCGACGTTTCGGATGCTTTGCAGCAGCCGTGGTCACGGGGGTCTCCACTTAAACTATAAGTAGACAGTATTTAGTTAAGATTATTTTAATTAATGTATAGCGTTTTAAACCGTTTAAAAGTGTGTTATTAAAAATTTATTTAACCAAAATCCCAATTTTAGGGCCTATGTATAAACCCAATGTCACAGTTATCTACGTCAAAATGAGTCAAGCGGTCGACACTTTCGAGTTTTATTAGTTTTGTAAATATAGGTATGTATACCAACTCGTTTTGTCGAAGCGTCACAAAACTAACTTTTTCACGGAATACGAACGTTGGTTTTATTCTAAGAATAATTTTATTTTTGTTTGTTTAAATCAACTTTTTTTTTCGCGGTTTTTCTTATTTAATTTGGTACTATGTGCTTGGGAATTGTCGTTTAGTGATTATTGTCAGGTTTAGCAAGTTCAATATTAAATAAAACCTCATTATCGGCTTAAAACTAAAAATATTTGACGTTTAGAATGCTTTGCAGCAGCTGTACAAAGTAGTAGTATTTTTTACATAATATTTGTAGTTAACATTAATTAAATATTCTTAATATACTATTAGATTCTATAATGTATTAACAGATATATACATACACTAACACTTAATACGTTTTGCCTTTTTTCAACAATCCCAGGCTATTTATAATTTGATTTTGCTGGCATTAAATATTGTCTGCTTCTTCCTCCAACCTTATATGCCTCATGCTACAAAACTACAAAAAGATACTTCTAAATGACTTAAGCCTAAGACGAATTTGTTTCCAGTTTCTAAATTGAAAAGGTCAACGGTAAACGTCAAAAAATTATATGTGTCGAAAGCAGTTTTTTAATCCGACATAAGTTATTCGAAAGACGTCATTTAATAAAATATTCCGAATCTTACGCATCATAAGGGTTTTCCCTAAGTATAATTCGCGAAACGAAACAGAACCACGGCAGTCGCGGTTCAAGCGCGAAGTTTAGATCGCGTCTCAATGTTGTCTGTGGTTCGCGCGCAAATTGAGTGACAGTTTCATTTTTTTTATTTTATTTTTTTTATAATGAAAGGTCAGAGCAAACGATTTGTGAACCACAAAGGTCAAGCGCATGACATGGGTGTGAGGAATAATGAAAATATTGGATTTCTCGATTTGGTATGTGCTTTTCGTACTTTAATTCTTTTATTTTTACGTGCGTCGATATGTCAAAAAAACAGATAAGTTCAACGTTTATTAAACTATTATTTATCTTAAGTAAACAGAGATACATATTTAATAAAGTTTTCTTATTATCTTTGTCCAACTAGAATAGTTAAGTGTTAATTTTCGTGCTTATTTACAGCTTAATTTTCGTTTCTTACAAATTTAAATATATATAAGCTATAAATTTATAATATATTTGTAATACTTAAAGTTATCTACGTCTATTATAGGTACATTTAGTTATAATTGACTATCTTTAGTCTGTCATTATTTTGAAGATTCGATGAACGATTTATAATTCCACAGATTTGCAATTATTATTTTGTGAGTTAAATAAATGTGTGACTGACCTTTTGGTTTTTTATACAAGTTGATAATTACAACGACTTATACAAGTTTTGTCGGCAATAAAATCAAAGCTTTGTCAATTTCATATAAATATATTGTTTAAGAGAAACTCATTCATAATAAAAATTGTTTTAAAGAGTCGTGTTCTTTTAACAGTAGGGCTTACTAATGTGTTTTTGTAGTCAACAAGCAGTTTGACCTAATTTTATATCGAGAACCTTAGAGTTATGTAACTTTAGCCTTTTTATAATGTTAAATACATTGTAAAAAGAACTGATAATATTATTTTTAAATACATTTAATATATTTCTTTGTTACGCGGTTGAATACGGTTTAAAAAGATATGTTACGAATAAGTAAAATGTTATCGTTTCGTTGTATGAAAAGTCAAAAAATGTATTGTTATTGTATAGCTTTTAACAAGAATAACTTTCCAGTTGTTAATAAAACGCCTAAAACGGTTTTAAACACGGTATATTCTAGTTAACTAACAAACGGGTCGTGGTTAAAGTTAAAATAAAAAAAATTGAAATAACTTTAATTTACGAAATATAATAATTTTTAAAAAGTGTTTTACTCAAATGCGTTGATACTAGTCGCGTAAACTATAGACACTACTTTGATTGTAAGTAAATAGAGTTTTATAGAAGTTAGTACTTATAATATCAGTGAGTTTTCATCAAAAGTGTTGTAAAATTGTATTACACTAAAATTGTAACA